AGGTTATATACAATTATATAAGAAAATTTTTCTCGGGAATATAATTATTAATTTTTGATTAATTTTTATAGAAATTTTTTTTTTTAAATTAAATATACTTAATAGTTACTTATATAAACGTATATTCATACATATTCTCATGCATCACTCTTCTTTTCCATTCTTCATTGGTTGTGTCAAATAAAATTAATATGTTAACTATTAGCTATTGAATACAATTAATAATAGATTTTTATTTTTCCCAATTTTGGCAGGAAACAAATCTCAGCCATCCCGTATCAGCGACAGAACATAATAAAATAAAATTTGAATTAAAAAATGCTAGAAATGAAGTCGAAACTTTAAAATTAAGATTACAAGCTGAAAAATGCAAAAATGAGTCTCTTCAAAAATCAATAAACAAAATAATTTCAGAATATAATCTGCAAAATAAGATAGCTGATGACATTGCACTGATTTTAAGTAAGATTGTAATATGTTCATTGTGATAGAAATTTAACTTAGAGAGTTAAGTACATTATTAATTATTTTTTTTGGCAGATGCATTTCGCGAAAACTCTCATGCTTATAACCCTAATGCTCCGTCTACTTCAACTCAGCATCTACCACCAATCGGCTTTACCAATGTTGCAGAAGGAAAAACTCATGTCGGAAACGATATATGGATCGACTCTGAAGCGTTTGAATTGGTGATAGCTAATAAGTCTTTTGGCGTAGTCATTAGAGATTTGTGTCGAACATTATTTTCTGAAGATGAATTGTTTAATAGCACAGTAACCGGTAAACCTACAAATAAGAATAAAAAACAAAAAGAACAAGAGAACGTGAATCAGCTTTCGGGCTCGAAAGTGAACACAATGAGAGGTGAGTAGTTATTCTAGAAAAGACTTAAGTTATAAGGAATATTAAATTAAACCTAGAATTATAGATGATTTAAGTAAAATTTTTCTGGGAAGATAAACAAATGTGAATACTTTAATAATCTGTGTCATTTTATTACAGATACATTAGAGTATTATGTGAATAAAAGACACCCAAATATGTCTCAAATTAAAAAGGATCAGATAATAGTGCGAGTACGACCTGTCATTGCTTCTTTGATTGCGGATATAAAAAAGAAAAAAAAAGGCAATGAGATTCAATCAAATAATAGTAACAATAAAATAATGAACAAAGCAGATAGAGAGATAAATGCAGTTGAAGAAACAGCAGGAAATCTGAACGTTACTAGTAAAAATATAGACAAAGCGACTGAGGAGGAGGAAACTAGAGATATTTCGGATTATGAAACACACACAGAAGAAGTGCAAGAAGAAAAAACGTTAGACAATCTTGATAAAGCTAATACAGAAGAATTAGATAAGGAAGTAAGAGAAATAGAAAATGAAGAAGAAGAAGAACAGTACATGGACGTTCAAAGTACCGACACAGAGGAAGAGAAATGAGAAAAGAAGAGAAATGAAAACATATGATTTAAAAAAACGAGAGCGAATATTAAAAAACGAATTAAACAAATTCTCAATGTTAAAAATGTAAAGTGTTAAAAAAATAAAAACCCCCCTGATTTATTTTCACAATAAAAAATAGAAATACTTACTTTTCTGGGGATTCTCAGAAAACATGATCCCAATGTCCTCAATATTTGCTAATAAATTCCTATACAAAACGATAAAGTACTTCTTATAGATTATTATTAAAACTTATTCTAAAGTCGTCAGTATTTGCTAATAAATTCTTATAGAAAACGATAAAGTACTTCTTATAGATTCTTATAAAACCTTATTATAAAGTCGTCAGTATTTGCTAATAAATTCTTATAGAAAACGATAAAGTACTTCTTATAGATTCTTATAAATGTATAAGAATTAATCGGAAAATTGCATGAGAAATATGACGATTTTTATAAGAATTTATAAGAAAATGTCTTATTGATTCTTATAAAATGTGCACTACTTCTCATGCAATTTTCCGATTCATTCTTATAAGTTATTTTTTTATAAGTTTTTATCGGAATGTTTAACCAGGGCTAGGATTAAACAATCAGTTTTGTCAAAATCTTTGTACAAGAAGAATCTCATCACTAAACCTTAATATACTTAAGTTACTGAATGAAGATAAAGTTCACTTGAAGTCCCGGCATCCAACACAATTCAGAAATTAAAATATGTTAGAAATGAAATTTTTTTTTTAATGGAAATCAATAAAGTATTATTTACTTTATTATATATGTCAAATTCAAGCTTTAAAAATGAAATTTTTAAAAGTGTCATACACTACGCGATATAAATGCTGTCTGAATTTGGTATAAGAGAATATAGAAAATCGGATGTATAACCTTAAAAAAATTGGACACCATTTATGTCGCGTAGTGTACATCCTTAATATCTTTAATAGGATCTTGCACATTATGTTCTTTATTTTCAATCATAATGTCTTTGATTGAGCTATATGTACGCTGTTTCGGCACTTTTTCGGTAGATAAAGGAAATTTTATTTGTCTATCCATTACTGCATCCAGATGCTCATAAAATGTGCAACCGTAGTATCCATTATATTATTTCATATTTAATACTTTACACATAGCCACAGAATCGAAACATCGACACAAAGTAAGTACTTTACTCCTTATCAATTCTGTACCTAATTTCCATTCAACACCTTCAGACGATAATGTATTTGCTTCTTCTACAAATTTTTCCAAAAAAAGATTTATCTCTGGTTCAACATCACTTATCCGCAAGCTTGTCATTATGATATGTTTCTCATAAATTGACCAAGCTGATAACCAACCGGATTTTGATGTTTGACAACCATCGGTGAAAAATGTGTATAAAAGACTGTATTCCTAAGCCATGGAGAATATAATAAGGAGACCACACTGACGTTGGGGAAGTAGGCAAAATAAGTATCAAAAAGTAGAGTTGTAGGGTAGTACACAGAAACGCAACAAGCGGCGCTGGCATCAGGAAGCGTCGAAATAAAAAAGAAGAGAGGGCATATAAGGCGGAGCATCATAATTGAGAGGAGGAGGAGCATGAAGACAGAAAGTGATTCCCTCTGAGAGACCGAAATCGAAGGAAAATGAAAAACTAATAGAATTGAATTTAATACAAAATAATCTGAAATCAACTCCCTGCGTAGAAAAAAAAATTGTTCAGAAAAGTAATTTAAGAAAAAAAAAGGAATTGACGATTGCGAACATCAATAAAAAAAGTGGAATTTTAATGACTATATTGAATATTGGAAGGGACAGTTAGCGAACGCTGATTTGACCTTTTAGCGTCCAGCCATTCCGTCTTGCTGTACTTTTGAAGCAGACGCTCTTGTGAAAAAATTCCCAACTCATCAATTTAATTAACAATAATCGTCTATTGAAGAACTGTAGGAATAAAAATTGGCAGACTAATAAAGAACAGTCTGATCTGTAATCCTGCCCAACTAAAATAATTAAAAACCGTGAATCGACCTCGCAGGCAATCATGAGAGCATCAATTTTAGAGAAGAAGGTACAGAAACCATGCTTTTTCACCTTCTAAAATCTGTAGCGAGGTCGATTCACGATTTTTAATTATTTTCATCAGACTCCATGTCCTAAGCTAATGATCCATTTTCAGTTCGCAACTTTTTACATACAGCGCCATCATGAATATCCTCCGAAACTTCTCTTCGTTATCCGAGACGATCAATTACATCATTTAAAACACTTTGAACATCGGTATCTTCCAACAGTTGTGTTAGTTGCGACCATGGAGAATATAATTGTAGGGTAGTACACAGTATATTCTCCATGGTTGCGACTTAAAATCTAAAGAGACAAAAAATGCAAATTCTACTTTTTGAACCACTTTATCACAGTTCTCACACACTAGTCTTGTTATATTCAAGTCAAAGCATTTTTGTAAATACCATTTACACGATGATCAAAATAAATGGTATGTGATGAGATTATCTTCAAATAAAAAGCACTTGAATAATTTATACATATTTAGTTGCTAGAACCACTTCGTCACCGAACTTCCCATGTCAAACAATGTTTAGCACCCAATGTTGAAAATTGCTGAAATAATTCTCAGCAACATCCAGCTTTTACATTTATTTTTTCGATTTTGTAGTTTTTTATAGATTTAATTTAAACTTATCAATTTTCACCCTCGAGCTTTTCGTCATTCTTCTATGTCTAAAAACTATTCTAACCCTTGGACCTTCTAAATATATTATTTACTCAAACTCAGAATATATTTTTTGTTGATATAACAAAATAGGATTAATAAAATAAAGTAAGTCTACGTAGTTGTCAACGGTTTTTAATAGTATTATCAATTATATGTTCATTTTGAGAAGGCACTTTTGTCACTACATAACATCATATACTAAAAAATGTATTATGATACGTTTACATTAATTCACTGCAATGCTTATTAATCTTTAAATTCTGAGCTCTACATATTTACATATAAAGTAGGTGTATATAAATAAAATATAGAATTTAAGATAAACAGGCTAAGCCTATTTTTCGGCCAATGTAAACGCATCTTAAAACTTACAATAAATGTTATACTTTTTAACAAACTTTCACTTTACATGTATAAAATATTTAGTTTCATTACTTAACACCATGTAATATTAGTAGAAAAATCTGTTTGTCAATACTTATTATAATAACTATAAAACCAGTAAAGATAGAAACTAACATTCGCTTTTTTATTTGTGTCTCTAATAAAACAAAACTTCAATTCTAATATCGATTATTCTGATAATTTTCAAATCATTAAAGAATGAATAAATTTAGACGGAATTAATATTCATCTTAATCTTGCAGTTTAACTGATAATTTTTAATTTAAGATATTATTGTTAATTAAAGTTTCATTTCTTAAAGCGTGGTTCTACTTTTGTTGTATGGTAATCTAATAATATTGTTTTTATAGATTAATTATATGTAAAAAAAAAAACAATAAAAAATCAAAGATCTTAATATTCGATTAAAGTTTTTAAGCTCATTTATTTCGATGGAAAGTAACTTTTTGAATGCTAAATATACATTTAAAGTATCCATTGTATGTACCACTTTTGTTATTAATAAAATTGTGTATAAAATGTTATAGATGATACTCATTACATACAAATTGATAGTGACACCGTAAATTACAAAACTGAAATTTTGATATTTAACGAATATGTGACTTCACAGTTGACACAAATTTGATAAAGAATCAGAGACATTAACACTTTTATGGAATGATAATTAACCTGACATTTATTTAATCATTATTTAATTATGTAAACAAATTCATGTATGTATTATCGATAATTTTAGAATTTTCAGTTTATTTAGCAGGTATAATGCCGTAAAAGTGATGAATCATGATTAAAATTTTTCATTTTTGAAATTAATACTGAGCGCACTAAAAACTAGAAATATGTATAATTACATGTATAAATCTTCATGAAAATTATTGATTTTATTGTTTGTTCTAGTCACTTTGTCAGAATTATCAGGATTTAATGGAGCTGGTGCTACTCGATTCAACACAGGTGGAATACCATTAGTTACATGGACTACTCCATTTTGAAAAAGTCGTTGAGTTGTATTAATGTCACCAGCATGTGCAATATGACCATTTTGTCGAGTAGAACTTATTACCCCATTAGTGATTCGATTGCCTTCTTTTAAAACTTGGTGTACTTTCGTATCGACATCTTTTTTATTACTATGATGTCGAACTCCATTGACCATTTTATTTTCTGAAAAAAATTCTTCCATTAAAAAATGTTCTATTTATATCGGTTAAAAATATATTGTAAAATATACGATGAGGCGAACGAATAAAATTGAAAGAAATGTTTATTAATTTACAGATCGAGTACAAGATCGAAATGAATACGTCTAAGATCGCCTAGTCTCAACTCTGATGGATTTGAAGCAACTGATTGTTAACTTAGAAAACAGTCATAATGTGCGATAAAAAACGATTATATAACTAACATGCAACGTTCAATCAGCTGTTTATCCGAATGCAACCTTTCTTTTCGTAAACAAATATAAAGTAACAGTTGCAAAAAAACAACTCTTAACCAAATTTAAACCATTCATTTACCTTTTAGTTCATTATAAGATGATATGACGTTCAATTGAACAATAATCAACCTTTAAGCAACTGTTTATGAATGGTTAACTCATAGTTAATAAATCGCACATTCTAACGGTTGATCTACAGTTGATTAATAGTTATCCGGGAAAAAATAAAATAGATTTACATTGATCAACTCAGATCTATTTTTTGGCACAATTAGATCTACTTTGTTCTGTGTACATCTGTTTTGATCACTTTAGATCTTCTCTGATCTCTATCGATGTATTAAATTTTTTACATCATCGAAATTAATGAAGATCTCCATAGGCATCCAGGAATTTGTGTTGATATACAATGATCTCACTAGATATACATAGATTTATTTAGATCAAATTTTTTTTAGTTTTTTAGATATGAGTAGATCAAATTAGAACTAAAAAATGGCAAAAATGTACGGAGAAAAAAGTCATGACCATATTTCTAGAATTCTAAAAAACTTTACTAGAAACTCCTTCACTTATATGGATGATCGTCGAGTCAAGCAAAATTTACTAGAAATGTCTCATCAATAAATACTCGAGGTTTACAATAATTTCTAGTAAAATTTACTTGACTAGAGAGTAATTTTTACAAATCTTGTATTTGGTAAAATTATCAACAATACATTTCATTCATGTAACGTTTTCTAGAATAAGTTTACTTGGTTAGTCAAGTAATATAACTCTGATTATTTTTCTCCATGTGTAAATCTGTGTAGATCTATTTTATTTTTTTCGGGTATTTTGAGGTAAAATTATCCTAAAATGCCTCAAAGTTAACGTTTAAGTTTACTATTAACCTAATTGCAACAATCATTTAACAGTTGACATGAATCCATCAGGGAGTCCTAAACATAAATAAACAAACCAGTCACGCGTTCCTATAAACAAATTCTGTCGTTTGTCAATCCATCTATAGATGGATACACATATATTTTACAATATATTAAAGAAAATCATATAATTTTTCATTATGGATCATAATTTAAAATATGAAATTACTTTGAGTAACAAATTTGTCTTTCTGTTTTTTTACATGATTGCTGATTGTACTAACTCCATTTTCTATGGGAGTTTTAGATAAGTTATTAGGCACATGCGATTTCGTTTGATGCTCATTATGATTAGAATTAATATAATTCCAATTATTTGACGATGAATTTTGATGCTCTTTCAAACTTTCTTCATCTTTATGATGTGACTGACGCATTAATTGATAAATTGCTGCTGAAAATTCTTGTTGCACTGAAGGAACATCAGTATCACCATTTATCTGAAAAAAAATTATCTTAATTGGTCAACTATGTATATTAGATGTTTCTATTTTTATCTCAATTGGTATATCTATACATATGTTATAGACTCTAAAATGAAGTGTGTGAAATTCCGAGTCAATTTTAGTATTATTAACACTTCAAGTGTTTAGAAACTAAACACGTGAATTTTCAGTGTAACAGATTTAACCTTATGAATTACATGATTTTTATTTTTACCTCAAAAATAATCTATTTTTTATAAAAATTTTGTTTTGTTTAATATATATTAGAAACACAATTGAACTAGTAGTATTAATTGATTTTCTTTGAATATTGCATCTAATTATTTGAATAAAACATTTATCTTATATGATTGATTTTTACTTGATAATAAAATAATTTAATGAACTTACAGTTATTAGACGACTATCATTATCAATAATTTTCAATACTGGTAATGTTACTTCTCTGAAGAGTTCTAGTCGTCTCCTAAATGCTGGAACAGTATCATCAAGTTTTCCTCGGCCCAACTGAAGTTTAGAGCAGTCTAACAAAATTAATGGTGGTTCCTGTCCGAACTACAATTGAGTAAAGTACTTATGAAACAATTTACAGAATTACTTTGCTTTAAACCTTTGACAGTACAATTTGTTAACATAACTTACTCGGTTTACTAGAGTAACTCAAACCATAACATTTAAATGCTAACAACAAGCGATTGATTTTTTTTTATTTAAAAAAATGATTAAAAACTCTGTGAATAACACTTCAAGAAATAAAAATTGAATTTTATAATAAATTTTTTCTACATCATCAAAATTGGAAATGATATGAAAAAATTACAAGTCACTAAAAGTAAGTAAATGAGTGTTTAAATCAAAAGAAACATAGGGTTACTTAGATTTCAGTGTACCATCAAGAGTTTAATGAGGTTTTCAGTAATAAGATTTACTTTGGTCTCAAATTCCTGAACTTGATTAAGATCTCTTGGAAAACCATCAATAATGATACCATCACTGTCACGGTTTAACAAGACTTGTTGTTCAATGAGCTGCATTACTACATCTTGTGAGACCATTTCACCCGTTACAATAGCTTCTTTTACGAGCATATTCGAAGTAGACATGGTTCTTAGTAAACTTCCTATACTAATGTGTGCCCAATTTGGCATGTTTCTAACAGCTTGAATGCACAAACTTGATTTATTGCTTCCTGGTCCACCTACAGAATTATAGTTATTATTAAAATTTTAGTTACTATCATATAATTTTAGGATTAAAAATATTGAAATTCGAACTGACCAATTACCCAAATAAATGTAGGTAATCCTTTTCTGGGTTTAATCGCTGTTTTAGAAAGAATAGTCTTTGGCTCAGATGATAACGGAGCTATGTAAGCTGTCTTCGGACTAGCAGAAATTGGTTCAGCGCGTTCTACTTTCACCTATTGCAATAATTTTCATGTAATAAAGAAAGTCATTATTGTTGAAAAATGACTTATTTATGGTCTTCCTGTTAAATAGTAATATGATCATAGAAATAATTACATACTTCTGCTTCTAAGGACTGTGATGCTGGTTCTCTTGAGCCAGATTTAGAAAATCCAAGAATTTCCATTACAGCTTCACGAAAGTCAATGTAAACATCACTTGGGTTCCGTTCTCCATTGACCTATGATTGAAAATACAAAACGTTTTTTTTTAAAGTTAATTATTTTTAATATTTAAAAATTAAAAAAGAATAATTTAATAAAATGTTAAATTTAAAAACGAATTTATGTTAAATAATGTGTCACCAGAATAAAAAATCTAACAATTAATTATTAATAATAACAATTCGTTTTAACCTCATACTATAAACTGACTCAGCTAAAAGCTATGCTTCTTATTATTGATTATTATTTCAACTCATAACTTATTTATAAAAAATAACTATTTACTAAAAACAAGTATCTTTTTTTCGTAGAATATTTTATCAAAATTCTTTATCACAAAAAAAAATTTTAATTTCACTTACTTATCTTAAAACAATTTTTATTAAAAAATAATCCATTTTCACGAATATTTACCTCAACTAAAACACCACTGCGATCAAAATATTCAGCTACAGGCATAACATTCCTATAAAAATTTCTAAGTTCCATTCGCGCTAAACTTAAGATTACATGACCCAGCTGAGCACCATAATCAATTTGTCTCTCGAGTACTTCTTGTTTCCATGAAACGAGAATCACTCCATTGACTATTTGAATCTGAAAAACATGTATATACGTATGCATCATACCATTCATAAATAATATGTGTATTTATAATATTTCAAATAGGTAATATTAAATTATCATAGCAAATTAGCGAAATTTAATGAACCTTTAAAGTGTAATAAAATTCATCGACCGCTCTCTATCATTCCATACATTTAACGTTGATTCAGTAAATAAACCTATGAATAATTATCAGAACATAGATGTAAATATAAATAAAAAATATTTACGATTTTTATCAGTCTGAAATAACTGTGAAAAACTATACACGTTAGAATAAAAATAGAGAACAACCATTTTTTTGTATAATATAAAATTTCATTGAATTATTCAATTCAGTAATTTATATAAAACTTTATTTTACAAACGAACGATTAAATTCTAATCAATTAAAATTTATTAGAATATCTATAAGTTTGTTTAATTTATAAAATAATAAACTAAAAAATAAATAATATATTATAGTAGTAAAATAATAAAATATATCGTCTCGATTGAAAGCACATTTTGTTACCTAAATTTTTTGTTATTTAAACTCATTTTTAAAAAATGTGAAGAAAAAAAAACTACAAATTTTATATTTGTTTTAAGTTTAATTTACCTTCTCAGAATATTCAACAACGTCTCGCATATTTCTGGGATATCCACTCACGAGGAAAGTCTTTGCATTTGGAGACATTTTCATTTCGAGCATAAGCACTTCCGCAACAGTTTTGCTACTCAGTAAGCTAAAGTCTTGCATATCTAAAACATTAAAATGTCGTTTGATCAAATTATTAATTTCTTACATCTAAAATTATCTCGAAATGATCAAGTAAATAAAATCTATCTTTATTGCACTGAAAATTCAAGATAGTCCAGTCAATTTGAATTTTAAATACGAAATTTCGTGGCACAAATCGGGACCGGGGCACATTTTATAGAGAAAAGTGCGCTGAATTTAATAAACTAATTTTCGTTTTTATTTTTGAGATTTTTTATCTCAAAAAATTAAAAAAATCATTTACTGTGGCAGCCATTTTTGCTAATTATCACACCAATTTATCAGTATTATCGATCGATTAGAAAACTGTAATACCGATGTAACTGTAAAATCGTTTTAAAATCGAGACAATATTAATCAAATGGGTGACGTCATATTAAGACACTTTTAATGTTTTAAAATAAGACACTGGAATTTACAGTGTTTTATTGATACTTTGTTCATTAAAAAATTATTCTGATATACTACCATTTCCCAACGCATATTGCTGCAGAAGATCTGTCATGTTGATGTGGGTAATTCCTTTTTTCTCTTGCATCAAATTATCACAATGTGTCACCTTACCGCTCCCTGGACCACCTAATAAAAATATTTAATATATTAGATATATACAACTATACCAATTCTTCATAATAAAAAGTATCTAAATTTAAACACTGTTAATGATATTTAAAAATTTAGTAATAATAAGTAATTTATTTTATTAGAATTACATTAATTCGAAAATTTTTCATACCAAGTACAAATATAACTGGAACCGTTGGTGGTTCAAATTTAACCGGACTGACATTTTGCATAGGAAAATGCCCATCTGGTGGTGTAGATAATAGACCGGCTTCACCACGCCATTTTCCACCATGAACATCACCGTCTTCGAAAACTTGTGATCTGTTTTGTTGATCTTAATAGACAGAGAAAAATATAAAAATTTTATTTGTTATGAAAATAAACATGATCGCACAATGCTACACAGAGAATAATGAAGAAGTACTTTTTACTTTACGGAGGAAGTAAAATTTTTCTAGTAATTCGTAAACAATACTCTTAAATCAGAGTAAATCATTTTTAATATTTTTTACTCCGAATTCAATAGATTTCACTTTCTCGAGATAGTATTATTTACTCCTACTAGAAGTAATTTTGAGACTATCGATAATTCCTTTTCTTTCATAAAATATTTTACTTCTTTATCTAGTAAAATATACTCCATAAAGGTGTATATTTTACTTCTTGATGGAGTAATTTTTACTTCACTGCTGGGTCGTCTAACTTTATTATTTGTTACATAAAAATGTAAGTCATATTTAATTGTTTCGGATAGCCGAGCGGACTGAAGCGTCGGTTTAGTTGCATGCGTTAAGCGATCATAGTTTCGAATCTCTCCAATAGAAGAATATTTTTTACTGGGGTCTAAATCAACGTTTCCCGCAATCTTTAAACTGTGTACACGTAAAATTGGTATTTAACATATATATCATCTAAAATAAATAATTCTGTAATTATTCAAATGATTTTTATTAATTAGTTTTTTGCCATTATTGTTTTTCTGTCTACCTTTCGAAAGACTCGCTAAACCCTATACCTCTTATCTAAGGAGTTAATGCTATTATACTAGTATTATATTATTGTTACCATAAAATAGTAGTAGGTTTAACTCTCAAGAATAGTCAGCAATATTTTGATCAGGCACTGTGGAGTAGAAGCTACCACGCTGAAGTAGAATTTACTCCTTGTTTTGCTCCGTATGAATATTGACAATGATGGCTGATTGAATACAATTTTTTCAGAATACCACTTTATGGCAACTTTATTATAATCTAGAGAAATTCTAACGTGATTTTTTTCCAACGTTCAATAAGGGGTAATGTATACAAGGAGAAAAATGAGTAGTAAATTCTACTTCAGCGTGAATCTACCGAATTCAAAGTAATAAGTATTAAAAATGATTTACTATGATTTAGTAGTATTGTTTACTAATATGTGAAGTAATATTTACTTTTCAAATAGTAAATCTTATTAGAAACGAAGTACGAAGTACTAGAAAAATTTTACCTCCTCCGTAGAGTAAAAAGTACTTTTCCATTATTCTCTGTGCAGTAAAATAGTGTTATTCTTAATTACGAACTGACCGTATTTTGAATACCATGAGTAATAGACATTCTAATAATATGTCTAGAACGCTTTATTCAAGATTATTATTCAAGAAGAAAAATCACCATTTATAGTCAATATGCTAATCTTATTTTTCTGCAAAAAAATCAACTTCAAAGCCTTAAATACTTTTTGTTTTTTCTCTGAAACTTTCTTTTTTCAATTTCAATGTTAAGCCTCTGAAATAAAGTTCTTCTAACTACAGATTATATCGTCTATCATATTGTATGTAATAAATTTTTGTAATTCTACACAACTGTACGGATCTCTCATAGAAGTTTAAGTAAACTTTTAACTTTTAGCCGAGAAACTCGCAGACAATTCGAAAGTAGCCTGTTCGAAAAAATTAGCTCCAGATGAGGGTTTTTTAATTGTTTCAGCATTTAAGAAAGTGTGTTATAAAAAAAAAGTATGAAATCAAATAATTGAAATAAAAACTTTTATTTTAGTATAAATAAAAATATCTTTGAAAGTCAATAATTTATTTACAAGTGAATAGATTTATTATTTACAGTATCTACGCTTTCATAAAAAATTGAGTACGTGATGAAAAAATAAAATTAACAACATTACGTTACATGCATGAATAAGATGATTATCTTTATATGAACAGTCAATCAATATTATGTTGTGACAATTTATTGATTTATTTTAAATTATTCAAATAACTAAAACTTGCAATTTACATTGTTTCGTAATATATTTTTCTGTCGTTGCGTCATTGGGTGAATATGCAAAGAAAAAAAGATATTATTTTTTGTGATTCTTTATAAAATGTAATTTTATTGAATTAGAAATATATTTATTTCAGACTTTTAATATATTATGATATTAATAAAATTATTTTAATAATGATACATACGAGTACTTAAATTTTTTCTATTTTTAATGACTATTTTTACAATACTAATTAATGAAAATGATATTTTTCAGTAGCAGAACGTCAATTAGCAGGAATTATTATTGAAAAAAAAATACCAGGCATTAATTAGTCGCTATTAATTATTATTATTATTATTATTATTATTATTATTATTATTTTATCTTGTGATTCGTCGAAAGTGTCTGGCCAGGGATTCCAGGGCTCCGACCCACCTGGGGTCTGACCAAACGGGATTATCCAGCAAACACCCGGCTCCCTCAGGTTTGATTATAATTTTTCGCAAGATAAAATCAAAAGATTAAATTACTTAACGAATCTGACATAATGTTCAAAATTACTAGAAACATTTCAGTTTTCACTATGTTTCAAAAATGATCTGTGATTGAATCACATTCAATTCTGATTGCTTTAAACGTTTTCATTGACTTTGTGAATATAAATTGGTTACAAATAAATAATAATAATGAAAAACAATGTAACTGATAACAAGAAAGTTTAAACTTATTATTTTCATAATGTTAAAAACAACCCTAGTATAATTATATGCTTTTTCTTTGACCTTAAGATGGCTTATTAATTTCATTTAATCTAGAGAAAACTTCTTTAAAGTCTTTAACTTTATATTTTTATGTTTTTATGTCAATGTAATGAGATTTCTGCCTTGGACGGTATTTGAATGTGAACACATCAATTATTCTATTGACATGGCCATCGATTAAAAAATTTGCAGTTAAAATACTCGATTGAGTTTCCAAATCAGGTCCTATTCTAACGGCATATTTCGATATCAAAGAAAAAGAGTCCAAGTCAGGTCTTATTTTTTGATTCGAGATGATAGTTACAAACTAGCTAAGACTAAATGAAGCTGCCTTAATGGAAAAAAACCCCATCAAACTCTTCTATTCTTGAACAATAATTGAAAAACCTATTAGATTTTGATGTGTATGTCATTTACTTAATAAAAATGAATTATTTGTATAAGTTTATTATATTAGGGTGAAGGACATCTAATAATGCAACTAGTTTTTCAACTTTAAATTAATTGTATTTGTTTGTTATTTCTTACTACTGAAAGGATATAAATAATTACTTTTTGCGGCAATCTATGTCATACCAGTCACGTTATCAGTTATTTTATTATTTTCAATCATTCTTTATATATTTAATTAATTTTAGCAATCTTTTTATCTTAATTATACAATATATTTTAAATGATTTTATCATCTAAATGGCCAGCCAATAATTAATATTACTTACTAATCATTATTTCAATTAATATTACTAATTATCATTTTGTTAAAAAATCAAAGGTATCCTCTTTATATTTAAATAATATCGATACCAACTAAATAAATGCCTATTAATATTGAATGCTTATTTTTATTTTTTAAAAATACTTACCAGTATCAAGACAAATACCCATATTAAGTGACTCCACTATACCGGAATGATATAATGATGGCCATTTAATTTACATGATTAATCACATAATTCACTTTCTATCACTTTATTAATGATTAATTAATAATTTTACGTTATCACTAATGTATAAAACTTCACTATCATATTTATTTATGTTAAAACTGTTTCACTTTTTTAATTAAAAAAATAGTATTCTTTCATTCACTAAAATACATAAATTGTCAATCATCAAGAACGTATTTATATATGTCAAATAATGGGCTTTAATAAGTCGATAAATTTACAAATACCTAAATATTTATTTATTGAGTATTAGATAGTTTTCTTTTTCTTAAAATTTACATACGCAAGCGTTCATTTGACCCATTGAACATTTTCAATGTCATTCACTTTCCATTATTTGATTACGTAAATATAAGGCCGCGTGTTGATTAATTCACAAGATGTATGACCTCAAACAATAATCAATTATAATTCCATCAAACTATTATACAATATTTTATCATTCATCAATTTACTAATATTTTTATCATTATTTTATTTATATTCATATTCGCATTGTAGTGTCCATTTAAAATTTATTTTTAAAAAACGTTTAATTTATAAATACTTATTTAAATGGTACAATAAAAATTATTATTACATTAATTGCTAACTTATTAATTTTCAAACAGTATACGTATACTTTAAATGATGAGTATTAATCAGAAAATTCCAAGAATACTCTATTAACGTTCAATCTTATTCACTTTTACAGCAAAAGCTTATACTGACGATTGAACGTAGATATTATTATGTGCTTACAATCATTCATGTGGTAACCATGGATACTATTGTAATACGCATGCGAGTTTATTCGAAAATAGTATCCATATAACTAATATTACTAGTACATATATAATAATTACATATAGATTTTTATATCATCTAATTTTTTTATTTACAAATTATAGATTTTTGCTTTAATTTTAATTTATTTAACATTAAAACTTTTAAATAATTAATTTAATCTATCATTAATAAGAATTAAAATATAAAATATATATATATATATATATATATATACTTGAAAAAAATAATTGTAAATATTTTACTGATGCTATTAATCATAATTATTTAATCGAAAAATCTATACGCTTGTTGTTTCGTGAATAAATACATAAAAAAGACATTCCATTGTTTAAAAAATAACAATGAATCAGGACGAAATAATAAAATATACTTTAATCTATGATCATTTGAAATTATTAAAATTTTTATTTTACTGATTTATTTGTATTTTTTCATTAAATAATTAGCTTTATTATTAATTTTAAACTCAATACCTATAAGTGTATCTATGCATATTTATTAAATTTAATTATGAAACTAGTTTAATCAAATGATTTTGTTTATATATAATACAAATTTTAACTTAAAAATATATGCATTAGAAAAAAAAAATGCCTAACAGAATGAGAATTAAAAATTCTCATTATTTAAAAATATTCATTATGGTTTAATGATAATTTTAAAATACAAAGTATAGCATGATAACTTCTATTCATATCTCTTAGGATTATGATTTTTTTTTTTATAGAATCTGTAAGTTTTATCGAATATAACCAATATTTATACGTCTACATGATTGAATATTTATACTGCGTATTTATTACTGATAAAATAATACCGTATTTACATGTATTATTTAATAAATATTTTTAAGTAATCATCTCATATCTATTAGTATTAATCTTATAATTTAGTATAGTAGTATAATCTTATAATAAGAATTAAGTTAACTCTCTGTAGAACGTTATTCATTTCATTTGGGATCTATCAAATTTTCTGCACAGCCATGATAAAAAATAATATACAAACTTGCAAAAGATAATTAGGCCATCAGCCACGTGTTTGCTACCTCTACCTTCTGCTTAGTTGGCAATTTTTCCTATGGTTTGAATCAACCTACTTTTTTTTTCCTTGATATGTAATATACTATTAACAATACCGATAAATAAATCGATTATTATTATGAGTTAACTTACCGACTCAAAATATAACGCCTAGTTTCATCCTAGCTTTATCTTATTCAGGATAGTTATATTATAATATCACTATTTTATTTTTAGAGTAAATATTAATTAAAATGAATTAACAGTGATACTTGATATCGTATGAGTTATATTACTTTTACATGAGTTAAATGATTATCGTAAAAAGTTATAATGAAGGAAAGATATAAACGATTAATTGGATGAAAAAATAAATTTATTGAAAACTTTATTGTTTTAAATATTTCATTTCAATCATAAGAGTAATCATGCAGACAGAAAAAATTAGTGGTGCAAGACATATATCATTCGAGTTTTATGAACTGTATGAAAATATTTTTTTAAATTACATTATTATATGTTTTAGCAATTTTTACCTCAAAAAATCCGTTTTGCCCCGCACTCTCCTAGATTAAAAATATAATTTGTGTAATTGATGACAGTGCCAATTGATTTAAATCTCATTACAATATAGATACACGTATATTTTAATGGATAAATGTATTTACTTGTATTTATCTACGATTCTGATGGTAAATATATAGTTTGAAATGACCTAAATGTTTTTTTTCAAGTTTGTACACTACTTTTTATTATGCCTGTACGGAAAGTTCAATAGACCTTAAATAGAAGGAAAAATTTCACTCAGGTGAAATGGAAATAAACTTTTCAATCACTCAAAAATTTTTTACCAGGAGAGATAAAAACAAATTATTCCTAAAAAAATAAAATTATATTTATCACTCTCTATAGCTGGTATGACTAATAAATATTTTTTATTTATCACTTGCTGCATATTGATTGAAAATGCCACAGCAGATAATTGAAAGTCTACTGCCCCGTTCTAAATCATGCAAATGAGTACTCAATATTCTTTTGCTGGTTTTATTAATTATTTAAAAACTGCTACATCATACGTACATATTAAACTGATTAAGGGTGATTCATTAGATTGTTCTGTTATAATTGAAAAATCGATGTAATATTATAAATATGTTATGGTAATTGTGACTTTCACTACTACAATTATCTTTATGAAATATTAAGAAGCTCTATTTTAAATTTAAAAATCTTTCATAACCAATCAATTAAAAACTAGACTATTCAAAAAAAAAAATGTTATTAAAAAATTTAATTATTTAATAGCCATCGGGATGCAGGAGCTGCTATCTTATTCAAACCCCGAGAAAAAATAAAATAGATCTACACAAATCCACATTTTTTTTGCCATTTTTTGGATCTAATTTAATGTAGGTCTATTTTATTTTTTCCCAGGACGTATTTTATAAACCCACAGCCTTATTTTTATCATAATATGATTTTTTTAACATGATTTTACTCAATTGATTTGAATCTAATTAAAATCTTGTTAAAGTCTATCACTTCATCTAATATTTATTATTATTGAAGACATGAATGAGCTTATTAGTTAAACATATATGTAATTCTTGGAATAGGTTTATATTATTGAAAATTAACATACGATATCAGAAATATTCGACTTTTTTTCTAATTCTATCACTTGATTAAAGAAGCATTCTACTGTACAGTAATTAACTTGAAACTTCTAATTTTTGCAGACATCTTAAACATTTTACATCAGATCCTGACGATGCATGGCTCTATTTGACTCTTGATTCCTTTTTCTTTCCGAATTGTAAAATCGTGATAACTTGTGGTGCTTTTATGAAATAGGAAGCCACTTCTCCAAATAAGATCAATCAGTATCCAAAAATCATTGCGCCTTTAAAAATCGACAAGATAAAAACCTCTGCAATACAATTAAAAGTGTAAATACTACACGTGCTGATAATTAAAAAAAATTTTTTTTGTCAAACTCTCATTTAGATCAGACACATTTAAATATTTTACGAGCCAAGTTTTCATAAAATCATAGTAAAAGAGAATGATGTATATATTTGTGCATAAATAGCTTTAAAGATTTTAACTATTGAGCATTATTGCTTAATAGATAATTTAATAATAAAAATAAATACAACAAATCAAAATGTTACAAATATGTAATAGTTTTAAATAAATTTATTTACCTAATTTAGTTTTGTTTATGAAAAAATTTTTAATTAAACAATCATCCAATTTTAATGAAATTTCTTTTAAAATCATCATTTTTACGGCAGATTTATAAAAAAGGTATGAAAAATATCTCACTAAAAGATTTCATATGGTTTTAAGATTTTGAATGGTCTCATAAATGCACTTCTTTGAATATAATTGTTCATAACTTTTCTGGAGCCATAAAAACGACGAGATTGCGATAGTATAAAATTATCCAAATAATAGATAATTTTTATATGTTTACTTATCTATTTTTTTATTATATTTTTACATCCTAATTTTATTCTAAAAGCTAAGAAACTGTTTTATAAATCGTTATTGTCGCATATTCACAAATTTTATTTGATCGACATTATATATATATATATATATATTATGATTATTTAGATATTTATAAATATACATAAAAATGTGAAATGTTTTTTTTTTGCTCTCTGTTGACAAAATAGACTTTATAAGCTTCATAGTGTACATTTAATATTACAGCCCTATTACGTTTTTGCCTATGATAAACTGTACACTTACATGATAAGACTCGCTAAATTTGACCCATTCATGTACAATAGATTGCAAACAATTTAATAATATTTTACGACTTATTAATAGACAAAAATCGTTTTTCTTTTTATTTATTTATTTAATAATTTTTATTTTTTTTATGTCAATAGTAATATTTTTAAAAATGCAAAAGGGAATGCATTCATGAATTTAATTTACTTTTTGCATTATACATAAACCCGATTAAAATAAAAGTTTCTATTCCAAGCGAGACAAATTCATATCGCTCCTTATTGATGAAGTAAGGAACGAAAATCATTGAGTCATGTTTCAAATACTTTTTATTTATAATAATTGCATTATATACTTAACCTTTGAATATAAGAGTCAAAATTTATTGAATATTTCATTATTTCTTTTCAAACTATTGTAAATTAAACTAAAATGATAATTTTAATAAATTATATTACTTATATTGAATTATTCAAATGAATGAAATTATGGATAGTTTAATTTCGTATTTATTCATCTAACTCATCCATTCTATTTCGAACGGCCATCTCAACAACTTCTAGACTCGGAAAATCTAATTCTTTCACTAGGCACAAAACGGCTGATAATATGTTGGAATTCTGAAACAAAAAAAATTTTGGAAAAAATATGAATTAACAAGTAATAAAATTAATTTATAAATCTGATAAATATAGAAATTAATACATACTCTTGTTACAGGTCTTCTGTTATAATGAAAATGACATTTATCTTTTTCTAAATGCCTCATACATCTCGACATATCTCTTTCTCTGTGATCTTCCTAAAAATGAATAGGACGTAACAATTTAAATAATTAAAATAATTATACTAATCAACAATATTCATATCATACACTATCAGACAAGATATTTTGAACTATATCAAACAATAAAGTAAGATCAAGAAAAGAAATTAAAAAGTAGCTAATAAATCAAAGTATTATAATTTAATGATTTTTAATGGCACCGAGAAGAAATGTACTCATAACATTGTAAATGAATTATCATAACGAACCTTTTCACTATTCTGATAAGACGATGACCGTCGTGGTTGAGGAGGATAATATGACTCTTCATTATCTATATGATTATGAGATTTATCTTCATATTCATAACTATTTCGATCAGAAAATCGCTTCTCATCTTGGTATTCAATTGTAGAGTAGGCTGACCTTGGTGGAGATTGTAGCTGTTGATATCGTTGATTAGGCTGACAACTCATACGTTCATATTCCCGACTGTTCCGGCTTTCTTTAGGATTCGTACCATAATGTCGTACATATACAGGTACAAATACCGGTTTGTTATTTTCATGTTCCTAAATGTTTTAATAATAAATGAATATACATATAAATATAATTTACGACTAGATTGTTAAAACAATAAAGCATTGAAATGCAGATAAAAAGTCAAATAATAAATTTTTTATCGAGCATTATAATTTTTATTTTATTTATATTATAAGAACTAAAATGAAAAGAATATGTAACCAGTGGATTAAATACAAAATTATATTCTTAAAGTTTAATTATAATCACGGAAATTACTTCTAATATATTATCAAATATTAAAAAAAATTATTATATAATAAAAAAATAGATAAATACTTAATGTTTTCAATATACCTTTAATATAATAGACCTATTAATTAGTGAATTATCTCCATTTATGTGTGGAATATTTTTTATTCCATTATCTTTTGTTAAATTTTGAGCTTGTCCATTTTGGAACTATTATGTAAGCACCCAAGTCCATCGTTAAGGCATTAAAAAAGTTATATGAAAATTACGAATATTTTTAGACAATTAGCTTCTAATAGAATGTATATTCCAGCACACTTTCTTAATTACAGATATACATTTGCATGTACATAAATTATATATGACTTATATAGTATACTCACTTCATAACTGAGGTGGTTGTCATGAGAATGCTGATGCGTTAATTTAACATTATGATTTGCATTTCGACGATCTACGTCATGATATTCTTGATTGACTTTTTGATAATCATCGTAACTCCTCTGAAAAACATTATTCTTCATGTTAACTCAATATTTAGTATTTCTTTCCTTTTAAAACAACAAATGTAACTTGTATTACCTGATCACTAGAAGAGCTAGAACTACGGTTTTGTTCAGGTTCAGCATCTTCTGGAATTTCAGCTACATCCTATGCATATTTATAACAAGAGTATATTATTTGTCTATGAAAAAGATAATATAATAAAGTCATATGAAATTAAATTTGTTGTTATGAAAAACATATTATAATGTAATAGAAATTGCGAAAGATTTCATATACCACCTCTGAACTAGCCAACATAGACTGAACTGAAGATCCATTTATTTCAAGAGGATTATACAGAGTTTTTCCATTTGATAATGCAAAATTTGCTTCCTCAGCATCTACAAATGAACCATCCAATTTTTCTAAATTTGGTAAAGCTTTGATTACCGTTAAACGATACCTTTAATTTAGAAAAAAACGATATTATTAATTCTTTATCAACTTCATTATATTTAAATAGAAAAGTATATAAATAAGTAGAAAATTATATAGATAGAAAAATTTGACTTACTCCTTCTGTTCAGCACAAGGATTTTCTGCAAGCCATAAATGACGAAGATTTGGCAAGTTTTGAAGATAACATATTTCATTTAAATCAGTTATATTATTTTTTCTTACAAAAAGCTCTTTAAGATTTAAACAAAACTGGAAATCCGCTAAACTGCTTATTTTATTGACACTGAAATCAAATATTCCGATTAACTAAATATAAATATTAATAAAGCAATTTCATTAATTTACAAAGGTGTAGCAATCATCACGTTTCTATATTTTTCATTAACTGAAGAAAGTAAAAGGGAAAGTTTATCATGGTATAATTCAAGAAAAGTTATTGAATTTTTGTATTTAAAAAATAAAATAATTTTATTTAACTTACCTCAATGATAAAACCTCAACTTTTTTTAATTCTCGTAGGATACTAACATCTGTTAATTCAGAACCCCTAAAAAAATTAACATTTGTAATCAATATTGTTATAAAATTATTTTATCTGTAGTACACATTTAATAAGAATTATAAATAAATCATATCTAATCCATTATGTCTACAAATTTTCAATGACAATTAATAGTTTACATAGTAATGATTTATTTACAAGTACAATTTGGTTAAAGTGTGTTTATTTATTTTTGTAAGTACATACATAAAAACTTACCAACAATTTAATTTTTTGACTTCTGTCAAATCAGATGTTCGTGATCGTGCTATGACCATTTCTTCAGTTAATTTTACCATTTTAGATGAATGTTTTTTTAACAAATGGCTAAACACGTATAATTCTTTTTATATGTAAATTATAAAAAAAATATTAGTTAATTAAGTATAAAAACTTTAACCATATTGAAAAATGTATTTTTTTGTAGGTTACAGTATATGGATTGTGATTTTAACATTTTCTGACAATCGAATACCAGATTAATTTGATGTTTGTATTAATTGTTTACGTAAAGTAATCGTACTTTGCAACACCATAACGGTCATCTTCCTACACTTCAACTTTTACATAAATACAAATGGAAATAGACCGTGATCAAGGTGTGAGAGTGGGGAACGTGACTTTCGTTCCCATTTATATGGTACCCTGTCGGATTTGCTTGCGTACTAAATGCTACTTCGTTGAGGAAGATACTCCGGATAATACATGTAAAAATTAAATTATTTACCACGTATTTGAATTTCCAATATCTATCTAAATTTTAAAATGAATTCTATTATTAATATAAATGATATAATCAAATCCCTTACTCCAAAAATGTGTAATTTTCTATCTAATATTATATTTTTTTCACTCAAGTAGAGTTTCACTAAATGTTCATCATGTTATTTTACTTTCCAGTAAAAAAGTTTTTAGATGATAAACTATATCTCGTCGGTAAACTAGAAAAAAACCTTGAGTTAGTTTAAAAGTCTTTCAATAGGTGGCAGTAATAGTGCCATTTTTGTGGCGGCTCCGAAGGTTTGGGCGCCAAATTTAAAAATTTCGAGTACACTCGGCTTCATTACTTAACATACACATACATAAATTACCCGTCAAAATGCGGGGCACCATCAGTACGGAAGCCCAAAAGGGCCATCGTATTTTATACTATAGATGTCACTATCTGAAACTTTTCATCATACATAGTATATTGTTATTTTCTACTCCAATCAACATACATACTATGTTGTTTTCTATCCAAATAACGCGGGAAGCTGGCATTACTTATATTACATTCAAATTCAATTGAGTAAATTGTAACTAAAATACTTTTTTTATTCTTAGTTACATAAAAATATACGGTAAGTATAAAATAATTTTAAAAATATCAGTGCTCTGCAGTGGTCTGGGTGCGATCCGAAAGGTCCACACGACCAACTTTCGAGTGGAAAAAATAAAAAAAAAACCCCTCGAATGAAACCCGTTTCCATTTTTTATAACAAATGGAATTGTTATAAACGGATAAAATATGTTTCCATTCATGTCATACGGTTGGTAACTTTTTTTTAGTAAAAGAAAGAATTATGCGTTAAAAGTACTCATATGTATATCATGGATCCCTATTTTGTTTGTTTATAACAATTTAAAACTTATTATTTAAATATTACTATGATCAATAATCACTTGTTAGTCACAATGTTCAATTGTTATGAACACAATTCCATATTATTGACAATTATTATTGACTATTATAGCGTCTTTAATGCTGTTTTCTCAATCCTGACACGAGTTTAAAATTCTTTCATTGCTGATTTTGTTTTTCAAAATTTCTTTTTTTCGATGAAATATTGTCACCATATTTTTATACAAGTATTCTAATAATTTAATATTCATATTTTTTTAAAGATTTTGAAATTTTGTCTAAAAAATGGTATAATTCATAAATTGCACATACATACATACGTACATACGCACACACGCACATACATACATACAGACGTCCACTGGAAAACGATTGTATTCGACTCTGGGGACCTTAAAACGTGGAGATATGTCAAAATTCGGGATTCGCAAAATCGGACCCATTACTATAACTTCCCACTGGGAAGTTAAAAATTCTTTATTTTTCTAAATTACGTTTATTTCGAGACATTCCGTAATTATTAACCATATAATTATAAAAACAAAAGTTAATGCAATAAACCAATATTTTTACAGAATCGTTATTGAATATTGAATAATTTCAACGTAAGTTTAATTATAAAATACCATCAAGAAGGATATAAATATCAAGAGATAATTAATATTTTATTTCATCGTCATAATATTATGATCTCGCTTCGTCATTTAAAAAGAATTTTGAAAAGACAGAATTTAAAACGTCACAAAATTGTTAAATCACCTTTAAAAAACATTATTGAAGCTGTCATAACAGAATTGGAAGAAAGTGGATCTTGCTTAGGATATAAAAGTCTATGGCGAAGATTGCAAACAATTTATGGTTTGTCTGTGAAGCGCCAAACTGTTTGGAAAATTTTAAAAATTGCTGATCCAAAAGGAATAGAATGTAGAGCAAGGCATCGTTTACGACGAAAAAAATACAAAATCCCTGGACCAAATTTTTTGTGGCATATCGATGGTTACGATAAATTAAAACCGTTTGATTCTGCAATTCATGGTTGCATCGATAGATTTTCGCGGAAAGTATTATGGCTGGAAGTAGCTAGCTCCAATAACAAACCTGAATTTATCGCTCATTATTATTTAAGTACAGTAAAAACAATAGGTTTTTATCCACTTTATTACGTACTGATAAAGGTACTGAAAATGTTTTAATTGAATCCTTATAAATAAGTTTAAGGATGAATCATAGTAATAAATTATCAGGATATAAAAGTTATATTAAAGGAAGAAGTACTTCTAATCAAAGAATTGAGTCTTATTGATCTCAACTACGAAAATCATGTATTGATTTTTGGATTTCATTGTTTAAAGACATGAGAGACATGAATATTTATAATGATCTAAATCCAATACACGTAGAATGTCTAAGATACTGTTTTGGAGCATTAATAAAAAAAGATTTAGAAATTGCTAAAGAAGAGTGGAATCGACACGTAATTCGTAAACAAAAAAATACTGAATTGCTTCATGGGCGGCCGAATTATTTATTTTACTGTCCTGAAAAATTTAATTCAAAAAATTATGGAAATAGAGTAAATGATCAGAATATAAATAGTTGTTTAAACAATTTTTCTTTAAAACCTCATATTTATAATCCTATGTTCAATGAATTACGTTTATTTTTATTACCTGATGCAACTCATCCCACAACTGTTGAAAAGGCTATTCGTTTGTATGTGAATTTGATAAACTGTATCAATAAATTTAATAGTCACCATTGTGATTAATTGATGAGACAATTTATTCAAATATACATTACTATACAAAATAAAATATAAACATAATAAATCTCTTTGATGGATGTACAATAATGAATCTTGAAAAATTCATTTCGTTATTTGTTGTAAAAATAAATATTAAATAACATGGAGTATGAATCAACTATGATAAATAAATTATAAATTTAAATACTATGAACTCATTTATTTTAAAAATAAATTATTACATTTTTTGAAATTAACATTTCTTCAATGTTTGATTTCTAGCTTTCAAATTTTTGGATGAGTGTTACAAAATGTAAAATAATACAATATTAAATTAAATAATAAAATATTACACTTTCGTGGAATCATTTAACCACAACTAAATAATTTTTAAATTGTTTCGTTCTTTATTAACATTTAATAATAATAAAAAAAAAATTATAGCCACAGTTTTTTTAGTGCATTTAATAAAGGTTTTTTATATTAACGAATAAATCAAGGGCGCTAATAATTTTTTAAATACAAATTTAAAAAGTTCATGGAATACTATAAAATAATATAAATATCTATAAAATGGCAAACTTTCTAACGCATTCGAACTGTGTCTTTCATATCAACAAATATATGCACTTTTTTGAAGAAAACATTAATTTTTCAATGTTTATTTTTAACTAAAACTTACAATCTCTTTGGTAAGTATTTGTTATAAAATGCAATATAGCAATTATACAATCTCATATTTAAATATCACTTTTGTTGTATTTATTTAAACAAAATAGAAGGCACGACTATGGTTTCCGTGGCGCCACGATATGATAATGAATTTCGATAGAACAGTCCAAAATAAGACGAAAATGAAGTATAAAATTTTTTCATATCTCACTTAGTTTTCGAGATATTGATACTTTAAATTTTGCGTTTATATGGGCTTATACATGGACATAATTTTGAACTACAGAATTAAAGGGTTCTCTCGAATAGAATATCTTTTTTATCACTTTTCAATTAACAAATAGTAAAATTATAATCAGACTTTTCAGCAAATTTAACACACACTTTTCACATTAACAAGTAAATTAACAGTGTTTTTATTCTTTTAAATATTTATATCAATATTTGTAATCAAAATATTCACAAAAACTTGAAAAGTTTATAGAATTGTGGATCTTTAAACGCTTTTTAACTGCATCTCTCTTATTAACTGTATGCATCCCCATACATATTTATATTAACATTGCATATTGCTCAATGAGTTTAGACAGTAGTGGCCTTTCACAGAAATTATAATTAAAACATTGTTCAATAGTTAATTGTATATCGTTTGGAATATTTTGCAAATTAGGTGTTTTTCGTTGAAGAAGCAAGTTTTTCAAAATAACACCAGGATTATCACCTGAAATATTCCAAACTGGAAATTCATTATAAACTTCAACAATAGTACAGGCAATTGCCCATATATCACTATAAATTGTAGCTTCTGAAGTTTGTAAAAGAATTTCCGGAGCCATGAACAATGGTGTTCCTTTCAAGTGACCAGAAATATTCCCAAAAGTACTCCTCATTGCTGTTGACATTGTATTGAATTTGCAAAGTCCCAAATCACTTAATTTTATCAGAAAATTTTGCCTGTTTGTAAAGAATGTTGTTCAATGTTCTACATTGTTTTTATTGGTTCTAGTTATTCTCCAGAATGCATAGGGTATGTGGAACCATGTAAGACATACGTAAAACATGGTCGTGTAAGATGTCAATCATGTGCAAAGTTGAAGAAGATTATATCTGATAGAGAGTGGAAAAAAAATCAAAAAATTATTAATTTGTTGAAGAGAAAACAAATGAAGAATAAGCAATTACGATCGAAAAATCGACAGAATAAAACTCTCATGGCAAAGGTAGATAAAAATACGTTTTTTTTTTCTATTGACATAAAAATTAGTGAAACATGAATTAATATTGTTTTCTTGCAGAAATGACATGAATGAATACTAAATGAAGAGAAAACAGTGAAATTTTGAAAATATTCGCTTGAATAAATTGAGAAAACTCATGTCTTTACAAACTATGTTTTAGTTTTATTCCAATATTTAATAAATAAACATTATAGTACAGCTTATTATCGTCATACTTAAATTTTGAAACATAAAATATTATTCATAAAAAAAAGACCACCTGATGCAAGAAATTACTTCCAACAATTAACAATTCATTCACTTTTTGTCAGCGAAAGTAATATAATTTTTAACTATAATATTAATAACAATTTTTTCCGTACATATTACAATGTAGGTCCAAACTTTGAAGCAACAAATCCGTGACTCCAAAAAAAAATGTGGCGAAATAGCAGAGAATATTTTTAAGGAAAAAATTGCAAAATTGCCTGAAAATCAAAAAGAGGCATTAGAAGCTATTTTCGAGATGGCCAAATGCAAGAAAGG